CAATTGTTTCCCAGATTTATGAAGCCAAATTTCTCTTGGAATAGTCTACAAAAATATTTTTTACATCGTAAAATAATTATAATCGTCAAATCATTAAAACTCAGAATTAAAAAAAAGTAAAAAAAATCTGCGAAAACTTACATGAATCCCAGACCAACCTTTCTTGACATCATCAGCAACACTCGAAGATTCATTAACCCAACCCAACAAAATCCTTCTATTCTTCTCATCATCAAAAAATGTTTTAGACGCATAATATTTCCCATAGTCATATCTCAAAACAAATCCATTATCCTTGTCAAATCCATTTTCAGGAACAAAAACATCCTTAACAACATCATAACTCCCAATCAAATAATGATCATGTTTTGTATCATCCAAACTAACCTTAAGAACATGTCTAACATCATCACCAATCATAGAAGTATCAACACCAATTCGTAACGAATTCTCATCCAAATTCTTATCCAAAACTGGATAAAAATCAGGACACTCCCACATTCCTGTTCCTTCAGCTGAATGCAAAGGATGTTTTGCTTCAACCCAATCAACAAAATTTTTACTTTTGTACAAAATTGCCATTCCCTTTGTATCAATTTTGCTACCAATCAAAACCCTCCAAAACCCATCTTTTCCTAGCCAAGATGTAGTTGGGTCTCTAAATGAACTTGAATTAATTTTATTAGCTAAAGTTGGTTCCATTAATGGATTTTTTGGTGATTTTTTCCATTCTCTAAGTAATGGGTCAGACATGTTTTTAGGTATGGCTATGTTTTGAACTTGGTGATTATTTGGATCAATTCCTGTATATAAAATTGCTGGTTTTCCACCTGGAAGTATTGTTGCTGAACCTGACCAACACCTTTTATATCTGACGGTTCAGAAGGATTGATTGCATGATCCAACGGTGTCCAGTTTACAAGATCTTTTGATACTGAATGGGCCCACACAATATTTCCCCATACAGCACCTTTAGGGTTATATTGGTAAAATAAATGATAAAATCCTCCATACCTCATTGGTCCTAAAAAAAAATCAATATAAAAGAACATTATTAACTTTTTCAGCCAAAAATAAAAAAAAATAAAAAATATAAGTAAGTTAGAAAACATCGATACACTCACATCAGACACAATATCGATACTGATATATTAATATTAATATTTTTTAAAAATAAATATGTAAATATCCTGTCTTACTGTCAAACATCAAATATAATTTATTCAAAAGTGTTAATGATATATTTTTCTAATTTCAATATAAAAAATATTCAGAGTAGAGGATTGGACTAACCATTGGGGTCTGCATGTCAATTTTAGCGTAACAGTGAAAGGATGCAAAAAAAGCAAAGTAGAAATTAGTTAGAGATAAATAATAAAAATATTTAGCAAAATTAGGGTAAGAAATATATCTCTCTATATACCATTTATCCAATTCTTGAGAGGTTTGAAAGTGATATGCAGTTCTATAAGGTTGATGATTTGATTTTGAGGAATGGTGAGAAGATAAAGTTTCAAGAGTTTGGTAAACATGGTGGGTAGATTCAATGGGAGTAAGACAAATGAGAGAGAAAACAGAAACCAAGAAAATTGAAGAGATAGCCATAGTTTGAATGAATGAGGTGTGAGAAGCTTTGTTCTCTTGTATCTATTTATAGATTTAAAATCTAAAATTTGAATAAAAATGTCTACCAATATTGACTTTCTATTTAAATATTATATTGTGTACCATCCCATGCATGCAGTTTTTTTTGAACTATATGTATAGATTAAGTATAAGTTTTTACTTATAAATTATTTAATTTCATGTAGTATAAAAAAAATGTTGGTAGGTGTTGTTGGTAATTTATTAACAAAAACCAAAGATTTTGTGTTAAAGAAACATCCACGGCATTATGAATATTCTCAATTCTTATCTGTCAGATTGACGTTAAGAAAATTCAACTATATAACTAACATTAATTAATTTCATGTCTGATGTAAAAAAATTCAACAATATAACAAACACTAGTTAATTCCATGTCTATGGATTTCATATAGTACACTATTATTTTTCTTTCATAATATTTTTTCAATGGTTATTGTTGTGTTCAACTTGCTCACGTTTATATTTTTAAAATTTATTTTTATGTAAACTTGACTAGTATGAATTGTCATAAACCATATATTTATACAAGAGTATCTAGTTTTTGTTGCTGTTGATAAATCTTAACAATTGATTTATTTAAATAAACATTGTGATATGCATGGTGTCGTATACTCAAACAAAAAAGATACCGACAAATCAAATATCCAAAATTAAGTCAAAAGTGTTGGGATGTTTGACGTGTGATGTTGAAACTAGAAATGCATTAATTTAAAATAAAAGGGTTGCTGACCAAAAAACAAGTGAAAGCAGTATAAAAACAACCTGTCTATTTAATTTAATGGTGTCTTTTGATGTTATAGCAAAGTAATATTATTTTAATTTTCAACAAATTAGTCAATAAAACAATTTTTTGAGTAATTAATCAATAAAAATATTTAGAAGCTTTTTTTAATATAATATTTTATTTTTCTTCAGAGTCAACAAAATAATTGTAACTTATTTTCATTTATGAAAATAATTGTAATTTATTTTTGATCTTACTGGACCAGACTTGGACCGTCACAACTGGCTCGAACTGAGTTTGAGTGAGATGGGGGTACCTGCAAGACACTTCGATGCTAAAATGAGAGATGGAATGGGCAGGCAAAAAGTATATAGGCGTGTGTTAGATGAATACCTGACCCTCTGGTAATAAAGGATATTTATAGCCCCCAGCGCTGGGCCAAGGTCCCCTCATTAGGCTGATCAGAACTGGCCCAATAAAGGAACTGCCAGGTTCTACGTGTGTAGTGGGGTCCCGCACGTGGTCCCCTCCCTGGGTGGTGTTCTGCGAAGAATGAGGAGGAACGATTACGCGGTCTTTCCGAAGCTTTGGAGATCCCATAAGGGTTGGAGTGGATAGAATCTTCCCTACGGGGAGTGTTGTACCCCAAAATTTGCCCTCTCATATTCTTCAAAGTTTTGACAAACATCATCTCAAGTTGCTCAAGTCTACTCAAGGGTTGCACAGTCAACCATCCTCATAAGCCAGTCAAAATTAGGGTTTTTGTTCTTGCAAGGAAGTTGAGGTTTTCAAGGGCCCAATCAAGTCCCACATGCCTATAAACATTGTCAAGCATCTACATGCCAAGTTTCAAGGCTCACAAGGTCAAGTTGCACAGTCAAAAACCCTAATTGCTTCACAATCAACTACAGGGGCAAAATGGTCATTTGCCAGTAAAAAGTCAGAATTTTTGGTCAATATCTGATTTTGAAGCCACAATCATCATTTGATCAAGTCTTGATCATGATTCTACAAGAATGGCTCAAAAATCATCAAGATGCAAAAGTTTCCATTTTTGGGACAGTTGAAAAGTCAACTGTAACTTGACCAAGACATAACTTTTTCATGGTTCATCAGAAAAATCCCATCCAATGCTCATTTTGAAGGGGAGGACATTTCCTACAACTCATCTTCACATTCCAAGTCCAAGAAATGCTCTCACAAAAAGTTATCAATTTTAACATTATAGGTCATTTTCAAAAGTCAACAAAAAGACATTTTAAGTCAAAGACCATAACTTGAGATTGGTAAATTCAAATGACATGGGACCAAAGGCATGGGTTAGAGGAATTCAAGACCTTTCCAAAATATCATATAACATGTTCATATGATCAAAATTGAGCAAGATATGCATTGAAGAAGTTGGGAAATTTTTGTGAAATGACAAAAGTCAACTATCCTTGAAACTTCATTTTTTGACGAAAGGGCCCACTTTCTTCCACTTGATTCAGCCTTGTCATGCCACCCACGTGTCCCATGATCAATTTCAAGACCAAATAATTATTTTTCTATTTTATTTAATTTTTATTGATTTAATTCATTTTAAATCCATAAATATTCAAATAAAATCTAAAAAATTAATTAAATGGCATCTTTGTGGTTTGAATGACTTTTATGTATCATATACAACCTACCAATTTCGTGTTAGGGCCATTTTATGCATAAAAATTCAAAATTTGAACAAACTTGGAATGATCTTTAATGGTGGTTATGAAGAATCCAAAAACTTAATTGCAAGGGATCATTGGCTCATAATGTGACTTATTCTCATTCATTACTACATATTCAAGTGTGACAAGCCTCATTCACAACCGAAGCACCCCTAAAACGGCCATAACCAAATTCAAAAATCCAAGCAAAAAGCGAAAACTGTTTTTGATATTGCAGGCCAATTCGAAGCCTTAGAGCAATTCAAACACATTGCTGGAAGCTTCAGGGTTGATTTGGAATCAAAATAACGATCTAACCCTCAAAGAATCACCATTCACGGACCTTCGGTTTGTTATTTTTTTTCAGGATCATAGCTCTACCTTTATGCATCATTAACATGATTTTTTGGTTGTATTGTGTTGCTTGAATCTGCAGGGAACTTTTGGCATAAGTTAATTGCTTTGAAACGGCCTAAATCATGAATCACCATGTTCAAATTCTAGGGTTCATAAACCTTTGAATTGGGGGTTTACACATCCAGCAAAATTGGGACCTTTTATGCATATGGTTGTGATCCTTGCAACCAGACGAACACAAATCAATCATCGCGCCCAATTTATATTACATACAATTCTATTCGCTATTTTTGACGTTTACAGGTTGTGGGGGTTTAAAACCCCCGTTATCTAACTTTTATTTTACAGGAAAATACGAAGAAGATGATTGCGTGTTGATACATGGTTGGCTCATTCAAATGAAACGCGCGTGTTGTTTTTTAATTTCCAGAATAATGGTTGTTTTCATATTTTAATTTCTTTGATTGTTATATTAACAAAGCTTGCAAGATGGCGTAGTGGAAAGTGACATGGGTGGTAACCATTGGGACCTGGGTTCGATTCCCAGGTCCCTTAAACATTATTTCTATTTTTTCTTAACATGATTTTGCGCAGGCTATCCCAAGTGACCTACCATACACCTCATCCAGATGCACGCCATGTGTCCTCAAACGCTGATCTAATGGCCAAAAGATGCTGGACACCACGCTCTCAGTCAACCGTGCCATGGAGAATCTCACAAAGTTAAACAAACTTGCTTCTATTGGGCCTAATTTCCAGATACACTTCCAGATCTGGCCCACACCCCCCCTTGGGTTTTGCATTTTACATTTTATTTTCTTTCTTTTTATTATTTTATTTATTTCTATTGTTTTTTTTATTAATTATTCCCCAGCCAATTAATCATTTTTACAAATAAAAATTCAGAAAAAAACAAAAAAACAAAAAAACAAGAAAACACTTTATTATTTATTAACTTATTTTGTAAATAAATTCTAATATTAATTAATTAGTTGTGTAATTAGGACAATTTTAACATTTTTTTAATAAAATTAATTTAGAATTAGGTCTTTCACTTTCAATTTTTAATTTCCTTTTTAGTTTATTTCCTTTAAAAACATAAAAATACAAAAAAATATTTTTTCTTGTAATAAATTAATTAATTAGTAATTAGGCTTTATTTAATTAATTGCAATTTCAAAAAAAGGGTCAAAACCCTCAAGACGTTCCCGATTAAATTTCTATTCGCGCGTATTTATTTATTTTGATTATATTTATGTATTTGTACAGAGTATGTAATAGTTAGTTAGGATTTTATCGCCTTATTTAAATTCTCGCATTTTATTTTCCAAAACGGGTTTTTGTTTTTTTGGCGATGTATAGACCCGCGCCTTGTAATAGTTAGAATTTATCTTTCCGCAATTTATTTTCCGCACTCCTAACTGTTAATTATGCCTGCAAGAATGTATGAATAATAAAATCAATCCGTAGCTCACAAACAATATGTACAAGATAACCTTAACTGAAAAAACAAAACACAAGCACATGCCACTTCTAGGGTACGCCTCACTGGTTGTCTCGAACGTGGTCATCAAGTATAGGGTGTCTTAGAGGTCGCCCTTTTGTCTAAAGATCCAGTTGCCTCGAAACGGTTGCCTCGGATAAAAAGGATCTAGGACATTAGGGTTACTTCTAAGGTGTCCTACTATTGCTTCGGTGACCACACTGTCCCTAATCATCAAATTGACTCGAACACCTCCAACGATGGTGCTACCTACCTCTCAATGGTGGGATAGTACTATCCAAATGACTCTTACACAGCTTAATTCCTTAGAGTAGGTAGATTCTCATGGGTACTTGCTCTTTTCAAACAAACAAAAACAACTTTTCGCACCTACACTTTCAAAAGGTTTTCAAACAAATTTTTCATACACTCTTGAGGACAGATACAAGAGTTACTTAGAAATTTTTCAAACGAAACTTTTTCAAACCCACACACACATTTGAAAAGAAAACATCTTTTGAAAACATAAGAGCAAGTACCTAAGAGCCCGTGGATAACCACGGATAGAAAGGGTGCTAATACCTTCCCTTTCTATAAATCTACCTCCCGAACCGAGAAACATTCTCAAAGAAGGAATTTTGCTGTGCTTTTGTCCTTTCCATGTTGGAGAATATAAAAGACGATGGTGACTCTTGCTTACCGTGAC